ATCTATGAACATGTACTTCGTCCCATTTCAAATGGATTTACTGTGCATGCCCATTATTCTACAGCAGATCTGATCTTTTTTTTGTCTATGCTTTACCCCCCCACCTTTAATTCAGTATATATGGTAATCATTTCTTAAAGAAAAGGTCACCAACAAATCCTACAAAGCTTAAAAGATAAATTAACTCTGATCAAGGTAATGTTCTCAAATAAATACTGTATGAACCTAAATGGTACAATAAGACCAGTTTTTTAAACAAACTCCTATGAAAATGAGAGAGAGAGAGAGAGAGAGAGAGAGAGAGAGAGAGAGAGAGAGAGAGAGAGAGAGAGAGAGAGAGAGAGAGAGAGAGAGAGAGAGAGAGAGAGAGAGAGAGCTGTAGTAAAAAATCCATGCAAATTACTGAAGGAAATTTTTTTACTTATCTTCAAAAACAAGAACAAAAACACTAACTTTGGTCCAATTTCACCATATCTGTTTGCAATTCTGTAATATATGTTCACCTTTCTATATTTATTTTCATACAACAGCAATGATCTAGATTGCTTATGTGGTACAGTTAATTTTCAGACCAAGGAAAAATACAGAGGCATAAAAGAAACAATTCAACATAAGGTTTGTAATCTGTATTGCTTATATATGTCAACAAAACATTAAATAGGAATTATAGGGTTATTTTGGAAAATGCTGACAAAAAAGGGAGTCTAATAAAAAAAGGAGAAAAAATAGAAACATTTAGGAAAATCTAGAGGTGCTGGAAAAACTTGCAGACAGTTCCATTTAAAAGCAGGTAAGGTCATTGATCCCATTTCAATTTTTAATAGTATGCAGCAGTAGTTGTTGTTGTTGTTGTTGTTGTAGGGTTTAATGCCATTTTTCAGCACAAGATAGGCTATACATGGAGGAAGAACCACTGACCCATGAGAAGCTACTGGCAGGCTTTCTCACTCAGAGTCTGGACTGGAACTCACACAGAGGTGAGATGGCAGTGATCCGTAACGGTCATTGCTTTAGACCACTAGGCCACTAGGGGCATCAGTATGCAGTTATATTATGGTTAAAATACCTCTGTATAAGAGACCTCATATACAAGATGGTTCACTTTAATGGTTCCATGAACAACATTATATTGAGGGATACTATATATATGCACCCAAATGAGAACAGCAAGACCTATATATGCACCCAAATGAGAACAGCATGACCTATATATGTCCCCAAATGAGAACAGCATGACCTATATGTCCCCAAATGAGAACAGCAAGGCCTATTTATGCATCCAAATGAGAACAGCAAGACCTATATATGTCCCCAAATGAGAAAAGCAAGACCTATATATTCTCCCAAATGAGAACAGCAATGCCTATATATGCATCCAAAAGAACAGCAAGACCTATATATGTTCCCTAATGAGAACAGCAAGACCTATATTTGCACAGGGACAGACATTAAATCTACAGTAGCAGGTAAGAAACTACTGTTACTTACAAATTTTTAAATTTTGATGCAAAATTACTTCCCAAGTAGCAAATGTTTTTTCACATTTTAGTTCTTTTCTAGTTTTCACACATGTAGAGTTGTTGCGACCCTTGGGTGAAAATGACACTTAACTGTGCATGCTTTCCTCTGATCTGTAGTTCATAGCTCTTTTAGAAAATGCACCTCATGGTTATCATGGTCACCACCAATGTAAAGGCATCTACCAAAATTTTCAAAGGAGTTACTGAAAACATGGTCGCCACCAATGTAAAGGCATCTACCAAAATATTCAAAGGAGTTACTGAAAACATGGTCGCCACCAATGTAAAGGCATCTACCAAAATATTCAAAGGAGTTACTGAAAACATGGTCGCCACCAATGTAAAGGCATCTACCAAAATATTCAAAGGAGTTACTGAAAACATGTATCAAGGGTTTTTTTTGATGCATTATGATATTTATCCTTGTCATGACAAAGGTGTATGAAAAGACTACTTAATCCATTCAATTCAACCCTTGTGTCACTGAAAAAAACTTTCTTTTGGAAATTCTTGGCCTTGAAAACATTTCATCAGATAACTAAATATAAAATATGTAATGAATGTCCTACTTTATATTTGGAGCACTGATCTGCATAATGTATCAGCAAATCTGGGTCTGTTTGCTTATACCTGATATTATAGCACACTATACAGTGTCACATCTAGATTCTATTCTGGGTGCAGTTGGGTGAATATTTTACAGAAAATATGGTAAATAAAATTAGATCAACTGAAGGTAATTTGCCAGTGAAGAAGAAAACTTCATGTAGTTATATAATAAAACCTATTTTGCAGTTTAGTACAAGAGCCATTAGGGATGGCTATACTTATTACTACTGGCTCCATTGGGTATTAAAAACATGAACCTGAAGTTAACTGTCACAGATCATACTTAAAACCTATTGGAACTAAGGATACAAAATCAATACATAGTGATTGTCAAGGGCTATAACTCTATCCAAAGTGGCACTGATGAGCAAACCAAAGATGGCATATCTAGGTCTGTCAGACAATGTACATGCCATATTGCATCAGAATACATTGAATGATTTCCAAGTTATGCTGTTTACAAGGACATGCTTCAGGGTAGCAAAATTATCAAAATTAAGGGCAATAACTCTATCATAACTAAAATGGACCTGAAAAACAAAACCTTTGAGAGGCTCCCCTACATTTGATAGGAAATTCAGCTATCAAATAACATCCAATTATGTTTATGGGTCACATAATTTTATTGCTGCAAAAAGTATGAACAGATGCAAAGAAGGACTAGTACATGGACGGTGAAGATGATTACTGTAGGACATCTTGATCCAGGGTCCTAACAGAAAGCTGACCATGGCTGGCAAGCTATATTCCAATTGATGTGAGATAAAATGGTATTGAAAAACAATTAAAATCCTTTAATAATGAAGTTTATCTATATTGTGGACGGTTAGAGAAATATGAACACAGACACCAAAATGAGCACTATGTTGTGCTTCCATTGAGGCAGCTTGTAGAAAAATTGAAAATATTAACCATAGAACCTGTTCCTCTCAAACTGACCTCACAGGACTTCTGATGAAAAACTTGGTCTTCCTAGGCCTATTACACCATGAACCATGGGAATGGTACAGCTAACAACCACTCCAATACAATAATAAGTCAAAAACTTGTATGCTGTTTCAACCCTAGGGTCTTTCTTATCTGGTTTCTCCAAGCCAAGAGAGTATGATGCCAGTTTGATAGAAAATGATTTAACAACAGTTCTTATCAAAGCTATTACAATCACTCCAATAAAAAATCTAAGAATGCTTGTGGCGACTAGTTTTAAATTAGGTGCTATAAGTGGTAAAAGTTCTCCCTTTGGGACTATGTGCGTGAAACCATATTGGTAATTGAGCCAAGATCCAATGCAGATTCCAGCAACTGACGACACAATCTGGACTGCATCACCTTTTCCTGTGGTACCTTTCACAATTTTTGGATAGCAGATGGTACATAAGGCTAATGCAATGGAGGTAGCTACAAATGCTCCAAGTGGATGAGTCTGCAGAAAAATGTCAATATCCTCCAGGAAAAAGGACAGGAAACCAGTCAAACACAGAGCCAACAATGCTCCACAGATTATGTCCTAAAAGAAAAAAAATTATAAATATGAGCAACTTTAAAGTCTTGATTCAAATCAATACTTAGTGGTTTCCATAATGCATCCTTCCAAAGAGTACATGTGAATAACAGCAACATGTCAACAAAGGCCTTCAAAATATATTGGTCTTTATTGTCTGCTAGGTTGTCTTTAATACTCAGACAATGCATCAAATAAGATTGCTTCATGCTTTGATAATGAATTATAAAAAATTAAGGAATGTCCCAATTTCTTAAGCTGACAACATCAATGTAGGTGATAAGGTCTTAAATACCGTAATGCACTGAAAGATCTAAATCTGTGCTGGTTGTTATGAGTAACAAGTAGTGCAAACAACATAGGCCTTGATCTGCAGGCACATTATGCTATGGCAAATCAGGATCTTTGACGTTTGCAGTTTGACAAGATGTATAAGAGAATATAGACTGTCAATGCAAGTACTATGCATTCATTGAAAGCTTATAGAAAAAAATGGAATGGAAATTAATAATGCAGACATAACTGCCTCTGCATTTGATACCAAGAGTGACAGTTTTAGCTAATCAAGCAAAAAGAATCACAAAAAATGCAATAAATAAGCTGCTTTCATTTCATATTAAAGACATGACAATTTCATCTAAATGTTGAGCATTGAAAGTATTTCTAATAATCTTATGAGACGACATGCAAATTGGCCACAGTGGATGTCATTGGGACCAACTACACATTGTAAGAAGTGTTTCAGTGAAAACATCATGTGAGCCTCCATTCAGAGTACGAAGTAATAAAGTTTTGAAAGTTTCTGTGTGACATTTGACTGACACCATTTTGTTTAGGACCAAGTAAACATAACTAGAAATTGTATAGTGACAACCTTATATCCATGATTTTCTGTCCATCAGGAGTAGCAAATGATTTTCAAGATGGCAGCCTTATTGGAGATCCAAATGATACTACTGTTATTTAAAACCAACTAGGCATCATAACCTACTTTTGGAAACTCTGTGTTGAAATGACTTGCATTCAGGAGAAATAACAATGACAAGATTTCATGATGATATCCATAGTGAACATCAGATGTATATCATTGCCATTTAGAACTAACCTAACATCATGTGTGTGTATGTGATTTTGTGTGATTTAAATTTTTAACATAGCTTTAGCAATTTTTCAGTTATATTGCTATGATGTCTGCAATGTGAAAGTTTACAGTGATGTCTAGCACTGGGGCATCATACCACAGACATGTAACATGATGAACCACCCAGTCACATTATCCTGACACCATGCCGACCATTCCTAACACTAACCTTTACTTTGCAGAGCGCATAGCAAGGCAGCTGTTAGTATCATTTTTAAAGCCTTTGGTATGACTCAGCCAGGGTTCAAACTCATGTCCTCCCGCATTCGGAGCAGATGCTCTAACCACTAGGCCACTGGAGCAGTCAGACATCATGAAATGTTTCTTAGTGAAAACCCCATGTTGATATGACAAGCTGGCCACTGTAGTAGCCATATTGAATGTCATTCAGGTCCAAGGATGAATATGTGCATCAAGGCACTCCTCCAAGTAATATAATATTTGCAATAACAAACTTGTACTAACTGATTACACATAAACAGATGATGGGTAAGAGAAAAATGACAACAGACCTTTCTATTATCTCCCTTGGTCTATGACTAGCCAAGTTAAAATAAGTCTATAAAATGAAAATAAATTTCATTTTGTTAGCAAGAACTAGTTTATAAGAAAACAGGTATAGACACTGTTATTTCAAATTCAATTCTATACAAATTCAGATATTTAATAAGAATGTTATAATATCCCAATAATAACTTAGTATCCACGACAACAACTAGAACAAATTTAATGCAACAGTATGAATGAAATTCAAATGAAGATGCATGACTATGATGATGCACATGTAAACATAAATAATGGAATACATATAAAACAGACAATGAAATTGCAATGGGCCCCATTTCTTAAACTGGAGAAAACATTCATACCATTATCGCTAAAGCTTGATACTGCCTTGTAAAGATTTAAAACATTATGGCAAAAACTCATGTCTTGATGACATATTTGTATAAATCTAGATATATAAATTTGTTGCTATTCATAATACTAGAAACAAAAAGTAAAGCAAGCAAAATGTCCTTTACTTAAAAACTGATATTTTCACAGCTGTCATGATACGAGTTTACTCTTGTATCAAAGATAAGGAATTAGAGTTTTATAAGAAAACCATGGCTGTGATCACCAGGATTTCTGAGTTGAATTAATTTTCCATTTCCTACCCTTTATCATGCATAATTTTGGTGCAGTATTTCTGCTACATAAGAGATTAAGTTTGGAGTTTTGATTTTCCACCCATTTTGCATACTTTCAGAGGAGAGTTGACAATGAATGATAAATTATTTACCCATGTAATTTGTTCATTCTAGCATGATTTATCATTTCATAGTTTCTTTATGCCTCCAGCAAGGCACAGACAATCCAAAAGCAGGGAAATCATACAGCCAAAAGAATTCCATGATCCCACAAACTTGTGGACAAGCATCACATTAATCAAACTCAAAAACAAAACTACAGTTAAGTCTTATTTTCCATCTACAGAACTTAAGATAATGTAGGGTTAACTGTACCAACAAGTGATTGATGAAGTTAAGTAAAATTGGATGACCTAAAATGAGCCATACAATCTGGACCATAAGATCATGCCAGTGCTGGAAATTAATCTGGATACCCAAGATGCAAAACAAGTGTTGTTGCTGCCATTTGAAGATTTGTTATATAATTCATGTAGTGCTGAATGAATTTTGAAAATCCATAGGCACAGTACCTATCCAAACTGAGGCTTTTGATGTCAGACCCATTCCCAATGAGAAACTGGAGCTCAAAAGCACACTCATGAAAGGCAGCTATGCTGCTATACAGTGTAAGTGAAATAAAAATAAAAATCAATCTATCCAGAAAAGTTTACTCACTAAAGGAGAATGGACTCCAAGATACAAACGGCTCAAACATACTAGAACCATCCATAGAACTGCAAGGCTACACGTCAGACCAAATGGCACCTGTAAAATAAAATCAGTTATAAAAGATATAATAACTCTTATGCAGAAGTTTACATATTACTTGGTTTAGAATGCCTTCTTGTTTAATTCATGTAGCAGAGATTGGTTTCAAGTAGCCCATTCTGAATTACACATGATTTATTCCACATTTTTTGATTCAAAATATAAGCCATTGTTTATTTATTGGATTCTAACAGAGTCCCACCATGTGGCTGAATGGTATTTATACTGTACTTCTGAACAAAATGGATAGGCTCAAGTTCATACTTATTTGTTTGTGGGGGAGTCAGGGATTTCCCATATGTAGTCAAAGAGAAACCCTGTAGATATGTAAAAAAACAACAATTACTAACAGTTAATAAATATTAATTACTGATTACAAGGAATATAGCAATCCTTAAAGCAACAACTTTATAACAAAATATCTTCAACTGTCTATTTTAATAGGAATGAGTTGCCAGTTTCCATTCCTGGTAACCCACCAGTTTGCCATCTGATTCAGAAATTTGTTTAATCCTTATCATGCAACATAGTATGTTTGGCCTTTTCTTCTTCTCCCTGGACCGCCAAGTTGTTTTCTACCTTCTGTTTCCACAACTTGTCTTGTAAAAAAAAAAAAAAAGAGAGAAAAAAAAGGCAAAGAACAACTTGTTCGTCTATCTTCACCTAGTACTAAATTAGTACCTTTAGTCATACCTCGTGGACACAACAAACCAAGTTGTGGCCACAACTTCGTAGCTAATCTTCACCTTACCAGTAAATTCATATTTAAAGAAACTTGTAGTCAATCTGTCTACAGAACAAACGTTACGCCGATACTATTAATACATAGTTTAGCCACGGTTAACAACAAACCAACGTTTGACAAGGATAAAACCTAGAGCAGTGACATGCATATTGCAAGCTAAAATAAAAGGTATCCTATCGTTACTTACAGTTAACCGAATTATGGATATCCTATGAAATAATATAATACAATACCTGTAGGACAGATAAATTGTAAGCAACAATAAACACGAACTGCCTGTGGCTAATATGAAGATTTCCAGAGAGATATTTTCCACCAATCAACACAGCTTCTTCAATTTATTTGAATATTAAATATACAAAGGAACAGCGCGTTAACCATATAACTTGACCGGCCCGTAGCTTTAAAAGCTTCGATCATGGATTTCGCATCACCGATATTTTCAGGCCCTTCTAGAATACATGGTTGGATGGATGGACTAGAAAACCAACAAGTTTTTCTCAGCCTTAGTGTGTGTGCGTTTCTGTGGTTTCTTTTGTCTGACATGGAAAAGCAGACAGAGAACAACTTGGTCCAGCCTGTCTAATTGCACTGAAACAAAAAAAACCCCCTCATATTCCTTGAATTTGTTTAAATAAAATTCAGATAATATTCCATCCAAATAAACTCCTCTTTTTCTTTTCTTTTTTTTTATTTTTATTTTTCGTTTTTTTTAGGTCCACTATACCATGTAATTTTTTTTAACTCCTAGCACCTCTCCCCACAAGCTAGATTTATGAACTCAATCATCTAAGTCTAATTGAACTCAATCATCTAAATCTAATTATATAACATGTAAGGGTGCTTGAAGAAATTTCTTTTTGGATGTGGCTAAAAATTAAATTAATGCTGATTGATGTATGCTTCTGTAGCGGAACTGCTCTCTCGGCTACACTGCCCCGAGTCTCGCTATGTCGGGTTCTTTATGATAGGTCTTATAGTTGGAGTGATACCCCGCTGAATCTGTCTGAAGACTGGCACTCCAGAGTGTGACAGATTTCCACCTCAGCGGGATACCGGCTTATTTCTGGCTTCTTGGGTACCACCGACTTGGTCACTGCTAGTTGCAGGGTCGCCGACTTGGTCGCAGTCGCCAAATGGTTGCAGAGCCACCGATTGGTCGCAGTCGCCGACTTGGTTGCAGAGTCGCCAACTGTGTCGCTGTCTCGGTCGCCGACTGAGTCGCAGGGTCACCGACTGGTCGCAGTGTCGCCGACTGGTCACAGTCGCCGACTTGGTCGCAGGAGATCGATAGAGAGACGACAGTGCGAAATAACGAAAGAAGAGCTATCCTTGGTCTAAATGTGTATTGTCGCAAGACCTCTGCTTTGCTTGGACGAGGCTTGTAGCGCCGGGCTGCTGGTCGATGAAAGACCTTGTCCCTACCCTTTTCAGATTTCTGGCCTGCTTCTTCCTACAAAAGGATTACGACCAAGTGTGCTTGTCGTGGCGGAGTGGTTATACTGCTACACTGCAGGGGACGTCTTCACTCTATGCCAGTTATTTACACACTCCCCCAGCAGCCACAGTTGGTCCATATATATACCCAGGCGGAATCACGTGACCCAAAGCTAAGACGATAGATGGCACTACAAAGCCCGCCAAACATTCGAAATAATATAAACTTTAATGAAACGAATATTATATAACGAAACGAAAATAATTGAAGTCCATGGGATTTCCTCGTTACACTTCTAATGTATCATTCACACTCAGTATATTCAACAATGTTTACAACGGGGGTCTAAGAAGGGAACTAACTCTCGATAACTCACTGAAATGTGCCTACTATCGAAAATATCCATGGGGTTTCCTCGTTACACTACCCACGCCTCCACTATATGTGCTTCCACGCACATATGACTGTCAAGAATGAAATTTTAAACAAATAATTAGAATCACTTGAATTACAGTTAAATCACGTAAAAATATTAATATCAAACAATCACGAAAGAAATAAAGTTCAGTAAAAATGTCCATCATTATTTCTCTGTCCTTCCTTCCAGCTATTATGGCATGTACAACCACACTCTTGGTCGCACGGTTGTACAGGCAAGGGTTCTGTCCATTCTTCCACTCTCAGAGATCGTCGTATTTTATGTTTAGTACCATCAGCTCGAATGATTTCTTTGTCCTCGGTCTCTCTCCGTATTCTGACTTGCGGTTCGACCTCTGTTTGACAGGCTACTGTTACTCGACGTCTCTCTGCTTCGCCAGCGATGGTGAATCCTCGTCTAGGTGTTCTGATAGGCGAAATAGGCGTTGGCATCACAAAGGTAGGAAACGGTGCCTCCTCAAACGTCGTCGGCTTAAACACTGACAACGACTCACATGCAGCAGAACTAGACATTGACGAATGTTCGTTACTGTATTGACTGTCGCTCTCCTTGAATGGCGACCTCTCTCGACCATGCAATCTCTCCTGGTGCTTCTTAAAATCACCTGTACGGTCTGTACTGTAGGCACATTCCTCACAACGATATTTCTTTACTGAAATGTTTGCGCCTAATATGCTCTAAAAGAGCCACATCACTATCGTACTTCTCCTCACAGAACGGATAATTCTTCATTTTTCTAGG